GAATAGTCTATGCGGACCACTTGAACGCCATGGGAAAAGGAAGGGATTGAAGAGGCCGGTTATTGGGGGTTTTGAGGAAATGACAGTAATGACACATAGTGATGCTAAATGTAAATAAACCGAAAATCCATCTCCCACTGATTCATCCTTTCACATATATACCAAATTGATATTTTAAAGCAATAATCAAAATAAACAGACAATACATGAAAAGGCTAGTTGCCAGTTGCTTTAAAGGCTAGTTGCCTCCCTAAGCGGACCCTCCGCATCCTAACTCTTCTGTTAATCCACTTAATGCTACTAGGCTGTCTAAATTTTCTTATTTAAGTTCGTTTGATGATTACGATATCTCTAGTCTAATTTAATAAATAATTGAAATCTCTAATCTACCTACCATGCTTTATTAAGTACCTGCACTTGTGAATGTAATCTAAAATTTACCGTGTCAAGTTGTTTTTGACTTTAACCTATATTTAATATATATTAGTTCGTCCCAGGTGCCACCTTCAAGTGACTAAAATGCTTCACTTTGAAGTTAGTTTCTTAGCTGATTTTTAAATTACATAGGGTATATGCTTCAACTACGCACACACGTTTTCACTATGTCGCACCACAAAAATACGTATGGTTATGTCATAATAGAACCACGCCACAGTGGAAATCCCATAGCCATAGTTCAAACACTTATCCCAAATCAAAATGAAGCACATATAAGATTAGTTGCAATACCATGTACAAAAATGGTGTTTAACATTGTTCCCAGAGTAATACCAACAATCAATACGAAACTAACGATTTTAAATTGGCTCACTACTTGACTAGCCTATTGGTCCCAAGCAAACGATTAACGTACCCCATTCTAGTCGAAATTCTAGTACTACGCAATGTTTGTTTTGATTCGCTATGAAAGTTTGACAGATAAAATGAGGGGTTATTGGTTTTTCCTATGTTTCGAGGGGTGAATCGATTAGCTTGGGACCGAAGAGAGCTGAGCCAAAAAGTTGAGCACGTTATTTCGGGACCTACTAGTCTTAGAGTTACCTCTATGGTAATACCTCAATGAAAACAACAACGAAATCTTGTCACGCAAGTAGAAGGAGCACTGTTGGGCCTTTCTGAAATATTTTAATATTATAATTCCCTTGCAAACCCAAATAAATCTATCTGCGTAAAAATAAATAAAATAAGAGTGATTTGCGGCAAAACCAGCCAGTATCGCACCCAACGTCAGTGCCTATACGTAAGCGTACTACAACGCGGCTTTCAAATAAAGGAGTAACAAGTGTGATACTATCACGTCAGGCTAGAACTTTGGTTCTCTTATGCAATGGTTGATCAGAGAGGGGAAGCTCAGTAATCCTCATCGCATGCTCATGACGCTATTCTGTCACGGCATGAGCCAACGATACCGGACACAAACCAACCGTCTCCAACGCTCCACTATGAAGCATAAGATTAGGCCCGCCCACCAACGTCCAGGTTAAAAAACTAGCCAAGGGGAGGGACAAAAAAATATGCTATGTTCATATTAGAAAAAAAAAATCATGAAAATGTCTCACATGACCATTGGACAGACCCAAAGGAATATCAGTGCAAATCCAGAACCGTTAATCCGAGGTGACCAACAAGTGTGACTTTTGAAACTCTGATAATTTCTCGATTATTTGCAGGATGTTTGGTAAATAATTTAGAAAAGTGGAGCCAAATTAACGACAAAATACGTCAGAGACGCAAAGGTTAATTTTCAAGGAAATTTGCATTTCAAATAAAAATGCATTATTTTTTAAAGTTTAATGTTTCTGGAAATCTAGGTCGATATTATTCAATAGAATCTCATAATGTAAGGGTGTTTATTATGTTCCCTAATTACTCAGAATTTATACTACCAAGAACATAACTAACTGAAGGTTATTTTTTTTTTCAAAGGTTACAAACGATACTCTTTTTTAGCTCAGTCGGTAAAGGTGCAGCTACGAAGTGAGTCCATGCTGGAGGCGGCTGGGATCGATTCCCGTCCGGTTTATTAATTTTTCGGGTTGGACTATTCCTCTACTTTCTTGGGCATAGGATGGTATAGGCATAGAAATCTCTCAGTCTCAATTAATATACGGAAGTGCTTCAAAGAACACTAAGTTGAGAGCAGGTAAAAATCGAATATGCTATAAGCAATAAGTTGTAAATGCCATGTAGTAGTAATACAAATTGTATTTTTAAGCAATGATTAGTATTTGAAGTTGCGAATCTTTTTTTTTTAGAAATCGCGAATTTTGCGGATTAAATTTAGAAAATCTTGCAACAGCCCTGCATTTTGATTCTTGTAACATTTTCAAAATGGAAATTTTAAAAAAATTGTTGCACGTAAACGACATTTCTGATCGAAATTACGCTTAAGTCAAGGTTGTGGAGAAAAAAATATCTTTCTGGGAGAAATAAACAAAAATGTTTTTTGTTACTTTAATCTTCTTTGCAAAACATGTTACCATTTTGTGACGAATTAAGGTGTTAACGGGTCATATTGACCCGGATTTTAAACTAAATTTGGACAAGGTTTTCGTAATCAAGACAGCAAAAAATAAATTTTAATATTACATCCAAGAGGATGCACTTCAATCATTTCGAAAAGGAAAAGCCCATGTAATTTTTATGTATGTATGCAGTGTTGGAAAAGTTCGCGATATTTCACGAAGTCCACCAAGGGAAAAAATCGTGAGTCATAGTGATTTTTTTGTGAACTTTGTATATGCAATCCAACTTCCACTGTCCGTCAGTATTGTTATGGAAGAAAAATGTTTGCAATTTAATCTATTATTATCTTACACTGATCCCATTGCAAACAATTTTAGCCCGGAAGTTGAAAGGTGATAGCTCTGTTGAGATTCAGTAACCCATTTCAGAAAGCCTGGTCACTTACGTCCATTCCGAGGTTACTTTCACTTAGAACAAGCCCCGCATACACGTAGTACCGATATAAAATGTATATTAGTGCTGCGTGTACACTTCCATCATCAAAGCAAGCACGTATTTAGTAGGATGCATTTCATATTTTTATATCTAGTTGTAATCAGTTAGATCTCACCGCTTATGTATTGTGTCCTTGCTGCTGAATCTTTGTCATCTCGATTCTCGTTGAGTCCTGTTAAACAATCGGCATCTCTAGTGGAATACTCTTCTCTCTCTTTCCCTATCACTTTTCGATGTTTTTCGTATCTCTTCCAAATAACCAAGTGGAGATGCATCAACAGCAACCGGCCTCCTCGTATACTTTCTTCGACCCATCGCAGGTATCTCCTTCAAACACAGACGTTAAAATTCCGGATCCATTTCGTCGAGTAGAGAACGTTCTTCATCTTTCCAGATTCGAATCAATGCTTGAACTGTAGTCGTTGGTCAGATACCTAACCTAAAACAAACAGAAAAATTAGCATGGTTTCTTAACACTCACCTGCAATCGGAATCCTACTTCCCTTCGGACCCATATCGGGTTTCTTCAATCCGGTCGGTCGGAACATTCTTTTTCCTCCTCCAAGGGCACATCTCCGATTGCCAGCACAAACGACTGTGGTCATCATAAACTTTTCCAACCTAAACCTTCTTCAATTACTTCTCCTTGATGCGGACTTGCATCGAACGATAGGAAGTTGGAAGTTCAGTAGATATTTTGTTCGTAATTGCCACTTGACTCTTAACTCGAAGATATTTTCAGCGGCTGCAGCAACACTTTATTCCATGCTTGAACTATTTTTTCAAGCTCATGTTATTTTTATGGCCACAAAAATAAACAAATGCATTAAAAGCAGCGTAATGTCAGTTCATGCACTGTATTGATGTTAATTTTGTCCTTTTTGACCAGTAGGTAATATTTCACCATATTTTCGACACGATTGAAGTGCATCCAGTTTGATGTGATGTTATTTTTTTTTGCTGCGAAACCTATCAGATTTTAAAGTCAAATTGTCTGAATTTTAAGTTTTTGGTATATAGAACCCATTTTTACATGATTAGCCACAAGGAATCGATGCCGAATAAAGTAAGGAGTGGCCACAGTGCCGGTATGTTGCCATCAAATATTGTAAATCATTTAGGAAATGGAACCTAGGTACATCAATACAGTGAAATCAATGCCTTACTAAGGACAATTGATAGTTTCTTGCTTTAGGTGACCTATCCCGGATGTTCCGGATACCGATTCCAGTGGCCACACCTACTTTTTCATAAAAATGGTCATCCGATACATCAAAACACATTGATGCTTATGAAACGATTCTTCGAATATTTTGCTAATATTATGATTACTCGTGGCCAGTGACCTTGTTCCGGTGGCCACAATCAACTTTCTCACAAGAATGGTCATGCGAAACATAAAAAAACACATCAAATTGATGCGTATGAAACGATTTTTTCAATATCCTAATTACTATTAGCAAGTGAGCTAATCCGGATGTTCCTTCCGGTTACCGGTCATGCGACACATTAAATTGATGCGTATGAAACGATTATTCGAATATTTTTTTCCAATATTCTGGTTACTTGTGGCCACTGAACTAACCCAGAAGTTCTGAATACCGGTTCTGGAAAGCATTATTAAACACTAAAAAGTATGACTGTACCTTAAATCCGTGGTTTTTATTCTATAAATATTTTTTTGTTTTTTTTTTACGTGTGTGATATGCTAACGCTTAGGATAACTATTGAAACAAATCAATATAAACTACAAAATTCAAGTTATCAAACCCACCGTATTAACCGCTGCGTGGAATCAGGGCCGATCACGGTATATGGAAATGAAAGTACTTTTGCCATCCTGCAGATAATCGATCATCAATGGTTGACCCTGCGTAAAGTTGTATCGATAACAATAAAAACACTATTACTAAGGTGTTCACCTAAAAATTCATAAGTCAACAACAAATCTTTCCCACATTATCTTTGATTATAATAATCTATCTGGACTAGAAATGTTTCTTAACAGCACATCTTTCTTTTACCTTTATTTATTTCAGAAAAAATGGCACAGAACATCACCGAGGAAATCAAAAGACTGCACCGCCGGAAGCAGCTCACATTCAACACGGGCAACATGGAACGTATGCAGGATTCGGAATCGAGCGGCTCCGAGATGGGTCCGGATAGTCCCCGTAGACCGGACAGCCCTCCGAGCATGGTCAAACATCCGGAGAAAGCACTGTTCACATTCAAACAGGTAAGGGCGGGCAGTTCTTGGATATTCACATTTAAGTGAAACTCCAAAACCAAGTTGCTAAGGATTCTTGACTTGGAACATTCATGTTGATATCTTGTTCATCGCAATTCGATAACTCATCGCTACTTGATAGTTGGGTAAAGGGTGATACGGTCAAAATTTGGTCAAGGGAAAACGCGTGTAAATCGGTGAAATCGTTTATTTAAAAAATCAAATTAAATTTCTTTTTCAAGTTCAATTAGTATAAAATTCAGGAAAAATATTCAGTTAGGCTTCCGCTTTTCCAAATCCGAATTGCCGGGCCTTACGCTTGACCCCTGCCATCAGATTTTGTACAGCCACCTTGTCCACCTTCTTCGTCGCAGAAAGCCAGTTTGCCTTGAACTGCTGCTCGCCCTTAGCAGTTTTTTTGGTCTTCTTTAGGTTCCGCTTGACAATAGCCCAGTATTTCTCAATTGGGCGGAGCTCTGGCGTGTTTGGAGGGTTCTTGTCCTTGGGAACCACCTGCACGTTGTTGGCGGCGTACCACTCCATGGCCTTTTTACCGTAATGGCAAGATGCCAAATCCGGCCAAAACAGTACGGAACAACCGTGTTTCTTCAGGAAAGGCAGCAGACGTTTATTCAAACACTCTTTCACGTAAATTTCTTGGTTGACAGTCCCGGAAGCTATGAAAATGCTGCTTTTCAAGCCACAGGTACAGATGGCTTGCCAAACCAGATATTTCTTTGCGAACTTTGACAGTTTCATGTGCTTGAAAACATCTGCTACCTTTCACCTTCCTTTTGCCGTATAAAACTCCTGTCCCGGAAGCTGCTTGTAGTCGGCTTTGACGTAGGTTTCGTCGTCCATTACCACGCAGTCAAACTTCGTCAGCATCGTCGTGTACAGCCTCCGGGATCGTATTTTGTTTATCATCGCGATTTGGAGTCACTACCTTCTTGTAAGTCGATAGTCCGGCTCGTTTTTTGGCTCGATGCACGGTTGTAGACGATACACCCAGCTTATTTGCGGCATCTCGGAGAGAGAGGTTAGGGTTTCGCTTGAAACTACCGGCAACTCTCTTTGTCGTCTCAGCGGCTTCCGGTTTTCGATTTCCCCCCGATCCAGACTTCCTGGCTGTCGACAAACGTTCCCCAAACACTTTAATTACATTTGTAACGGTTGATTTGGCAACTTTTAGCGATTTTGCCAACTTTGCGTGCGAGTAGCTCGGATTTTCGCGATGCGCGAGCAAAATTTTGATACGCTGCTCTTCTTGCTTGGACGGCATTTTGACAACTGAAGAGTGAATTCCAACATCGAAACAGGAGCAACATTCTACACACACACACCTTCAAAATGAGGGGTGTTCAGGTTTTTTTAAATGCAAAATTGAAAGAAATACGTCAAGTTGATATTGACCAAATTTTGACCGTATCACCCTTTAGGTTTAGAAAGCTGTTTACGACAAGAATCACAAATATTGAAGTTACTGTTGGTTCTCTTCCGCAAATCCCAGCTCAATCAATTTCTGAATATTATTTTCCGTGAAATTTCGGCACTTTTTCGATCAACTTTTACTAAACACGTTTATGTACTTATGATAAAAAGTATTAATTTTAACGATAACTTAGTCTTCTGACTAACAGTCACCCAATATTATGGGTCATCCACAATAAAAGGGTGTCCCACATCAAATTGCATCAAGGAAAAAACGCTGTTTTAAATTACCCGTTGGGTGTTTTCTCTTGAAAATTTGGGTAGAAGTAGTTTAAAGTGTATTGTTTACACTGTATTTTTATCGCTGTCAGTTTTTCGAAAGTCACGAAAAGAAAATGCTCAACTCTCTCATCGGGACATCGGAAAACAACTCGGAATCGTGCAGTCAACGGTGAGTCGTGTAATTAAACGTTACTACGAAACCCTGATCTGAGATTTTAAGCCTCAGAAAATCCCGACGGCGGCGATTGGGATTGGCGATTGAACCCAGGCCTGCGGGGGTAATAGGTAATCACGCTTACCATCGGCGCCGCTATACGTAGATCTCGTTGCTTTCTAATAGAATTTCCAAACTCAATCTACCAATTCGGCCTAGTGTCTTTCCAATAATTTACATGTAACTCAGATACATTTAAGAATTCTGAGACTTTTAGGAATATTTCTAATTTTGGAATTCATAAAATTATCTAAATTATGGCGCATAATTCGATCATTTATTTCGATTTTGAAACCTGTTTGTCCGGTTTTGTATTACTTCATGCGCGAAGATAACGATTTATATAGTTACTTACCTTACCAATCAGACTAAGGCCTTGTTGTGCTCTGCTGCCCGAAGAAGTCGTCTCCACTCTACTCGATCCATGGTCCCACGTCTCTAGCCTCGTAGTTTGCGAAAGTTTCGCAAGTCGCCTTCTACTTGGTCGATCCACCTTACCCGCTGCGCGCCTCTTCTTATTGTTTCTGTTGGGTCGCTTTCAAGAACAATTTGTCACTGGATCGTCGTCTTGCATTCTTACGACGTGACCAGCCCACCGTAGTCGCCCAATTTTTGCAATGTGGACGATGGATGGTTCTCCCAGCAGCTGGTGCAATTCATGGTTCATTCGCTTCCTCCACGTTCCGTCATCCATCTGCACTCCACCGTAGATGGTACGTAACACCTTCCGTTCGAAAACCCGTCCTCCACGAGCATAGTCCATATCTCGTGGTCGTAGAGGACCACCGGTCGGTCTAATCAGCGTCTTATAGCTTTGTGTGACGGCGAATTTTATTTGACCGGAAAGTCCTCCGGAGTCCAAACTAGGCACGATTCCCTGCCATAATGCGTCTTTGAATTTCTATGCTGGTTATTATTTTCGGTGGTCACCAGTGAGCCCAAATACACGAACTCGTCGACAACCTCGATTTCGGCACGGTCAATCTGAATTCGGGGTGGGAGGCTAAAATTGTCTTCCCTAGAACCTCTTCCTCTCATGTATTTCGTCTTCTATGCGTTGATGGCAAGTCCAATCCGCCCAGCTTCAGCCTTCAGTCTGATGTACGTTTCCACCATCGTCGCAAAGTTCCGTGTCATGATGTCGATGTCATCGGCGAAGTCAAGAAACTGGATGGACTTCCTGAAGATCGGGCCACTCGTGTCTATCACAGCTCTTCTGATTACACCTTCTAACGTGATATTAAATAGCAGACACGAAAGTTCATCACCTTGCCGTAACCCCCTTCGAGATTCAAAGGGACTCGAGAAGTGTCCCCGATACTCGAACAATGCACATCACTCAATCCAGTTTATCCAAAAATCCGTACTCGTGCATAATCTGCCACAGCCCACAGCTGATCTCGATCGATTGTGTCGTATGCGGATTTGAAATCGATGAACAAATGATGTGTGGGCACGTTGTATTCGCGGTATTTCTGCAGAACCTGCAAAATCGCGAAATTTTGGTCCGTGCTAGCGCGGGCTCCCATGAATCCCGCCTGGTATTGCCCCACGAACTCTCTTGCAAATGGTGTGACAGCCCCTTTGTAGATTGGGCATACAACACCTTCCATCCACTCCTCCGGTAATATCTCCGCCTCCCAAATCTTGGCAATTACCCAGTGCAGCGCTCTAGTCAGTGCACGGAGAACAAATTATAGTAGACGCAATTGTTTTTCCGGTCAAAATAACTATATTGTTCAATTGTTTTAGAGATAATCCAAACTATAGTTGATTTGACTATATATAGAGGGCAACAACTATAGTCCATAGTTGGTTCCTCGGTTGGCTCAACTATATTTTTCAGTAGATGAACAAACGTCAAACTTCAAAATACAACTATGCTTTAGTTGATTCAAGAAAACTTTTGTTAGGTTAGCAAAATTTTTCAATGTTTATTAAACGAACTGCTCTTCATTATCGACATATTAAGGAAGTTTGTTTTACCTCTTTATCGATTTCAAAAACACAACTGCAAAATCATAAAAAAGGTGAACAAGAACATTCAACTAAGATTTGAACCGTGTTCATCTGCGTGAGAGCCAGCTGTCTTAGTGCCTGCTCTACGCATCACAAGTTAATAATTGTGGATTTATGATGATCACTTGAAACCAAATTTTATAACTAAATTACATTTGACGGTTGTTGTAGTTGATCAAAGTTATAGTTGAATTGAGTATAAGATGAACAGTTGAATCTATTAGGTAGATATGATTGAGTTGATGGTCAAATTAATGTTGGAATAACTATAGGTTTCTTTCAAACAACAATATTTTTCCATGTGAAAGTAACTATTAGGATTGTTATCTTAACTTAACGAATTTGTTCTCCGTGTGCTTCACCACCTTATTTTAATAGCTCACTTGGTAGTTGATCTACACCAGTTGCTTTGTTGTTCTTCAGCCGACCGATCTCCTCCTCAACTTCTTGAAGATTAGGGGCCGGTAGCCTGTCGTCTTCTGCGCGTGCTCCAAGGTCTGTTGCCGTGCCACCTTCGTTTTCTGCTGCTTCACCGTTGAGGTGCTCGTCATAATACTGCTTCCACCTCTCAATCACCTCACACTCGTTCGTGAGAAGGTTACCGTCCAAGTCCTTGCACATATCGGCTTGCGGCACGTCGCCTTTGCGCGAACTATTTAGCTTCTCGTAGAACTTCCGTGTGTCGTTTACGCGGTACAGATTTTCCATCGTCTCGCGATCTCAGTCTTCCTGCTGACGCTTCTTCCTTCGGAAAACCGAGTTTTGTCTGTTCCGCGCTTGTCTGTATCGCTCCACATTCAATCTCGTGCGGTGTTGCAGCATTCTCGCCCGTGCTGCATTCATCTCGTCTACTAACAGTTTGCATTCGCCGTCAAACCAGTCGTTTCTTCGGTCCGGGATTGCAGTACCTAGTGCCGCTGCAGCAGTACTACCTATGGCGGAACGGATGTCCCTCCAGCCATCTTCAAGAGAAGCTGCGCCAAGCTGCTCTTCCGTGGGTAGCGCAACTCCCAGCTGCTGCTCGTAGTCCTGGGCAACTCCGGCGTCCCGTAGTTGCTCAATGTTGGGTCGCGTCGTTCGACTTCGACGGGTGTTATGCACCGTCGAGAGTTTTGAGCGCATGCATACTGCAACTAGGTAGTGGTCCGAATCTATGTTCGCACTGCAGTACGTGCGGACGTTGATAATCTCGGAGAAGAATTTCCCGTCGATTAGAACGTGATCGATTTGGTTTTCTGTGTGTTGTTCAGGTGATCTCCAGGTAGCTTTGTGGATATATTTGTGAGGGAAAAAGGTACTTCGAACTACCATAGCCCGAGAGGCTGCAAAGTTCACGCATCGTTGGCCGTTGTCGTGCGATACGGCATGCAGGCTGTTTGGCCCGATTGCCGGTCTATACATTGCCTCCCGTCCTATCTGAGCGTTCATGTTGCCGATGACGATTTTGACGTCCCGTTGCGAACAGCCGTCGTACACCTGCTCCAGCTGCGCATAGAACGCTTCTTTCTCGTCGTCGGGTCTCCCTTCGTGTGGGCAGTGTAGGTTGATGATACTGTAGTTGAAAAAACGGCCCTTAATCCTCAACTTGCACATCCTTACGTTGATCGGCTGCCAACGAATCACGCGTTGGCGCATCTTACCCAGCACTACAAAGCCGGTTCCCAGCTCGTTGGTGGTGCCGCAGCTCTGGTAGAAAGTAGCCGCTCGATGCCCGCTTTTCCATACCTTTTGTCCCATCCAGCAATGTTCCTGCAGTACTACGACTTCGAAGTTGCGTGGTTGAAGTTCGTCATAGATTAACCTATCGCAGGACGGGAAGCCAAGCGATTTGCAGTTCCATGTTCCGAGTTTCCAATCGTAGTCCTTATTTCGTCGCGTAGGTCTGTGCCGATTGTTCCGATCCGTATTTCTTTCTTCAGTATTTGCAACTTTATGGTTTTTCCAGGGCGGCTTGTTGGGCCTGCCCCAACCCCCTGTCTCGCCGGGAGACCATCGTGCACAGCTCTGTTAAGAGTCCCACGCTGGCACTAGGACGGTAATCAGCCGCTCCTAACATGGAGAACAGACGCCGTTTTGAGCCGCACATCCATAATGAACAGACCCTCGGGTTTGGTGAAGCATTTCCTCTATCATCGTACTATGGTTACCGCGCCAGTGTTCGCGTCGCACCTCTTCACTTTGCTATTGCCGGACTGGCACCATTGCCCAGGCTACGCCACCCAGCTGTGTCCATGTTTCAGCTGGTAGTCTTTTGTTATCATATGACTCGGGGAGGCGTGAAGTAGGAACTTGTGAGGACCAGGGCTAGGTATTCCGCTCCTTCCAAGTTGTCAACTCACCATTTTGTGTTCTGGGCAAAAACCAAATTCAATATTCAGGCTGCTGTCGTAGTAGGGTAAGGTACGGCAAGATGGATTTGTTTGTCAAAATTAACATGATCAATGCAATTACGGGTCACGGAGCAAGATGGGTCAGCTAGTACATTTATTAATTTATTTGTTTGTCAAAATTAGCATGATCAATGCAATCCCAAAGATGGATTGCTTTTTCAAACCTGCATTGGGGCAACGTTAAACCTGTTGAAGTTGTCAATCAAAAATATAAATAAATCAAGTAGATGACCCATCTTTCCTCGTGACCCATCTTGCCACCTTACCCTATTTGCTGATCACCATGCCTATAGTACCGATATTCCATTGCACCTTTAATTTCCTTTCAGGTACAAATGATCTGCGAGCGTATGCTGAAGGAACGGGAAGACGCCTTGCGGGAGCAATATGATGCCGTTCTGACCAACAAACTAGCCGAACAGTACGATGCATTTGTCAAATTTACCTATGACCAAATACAGAGACGCTACGAAGCGGCGCCTAGTTGTGAGTATTTCCACTATTGAAGTGTTACCTTTCTTATTTTTAAATTTTATAACTAAACTAATTCCAATTTTTTTTTTGCAGACCTCTCCTAATCTGCTAGTTAACTTATGATGTAAAAGCAAAGTAAAAACAACGTAAGGGGCATATATCCACCCAATCCACACAACAACAGCAACAACAACAAACAGACACACACACACACGCGCGTATCCATATATTCAAATTCCCACATACAAGCTATAAATCTAAAACTGAATAGAGCTCTTCATTTATTTGTACTAATCTTCTATTACTTCATCTTGCTGCTGGTACGATTACAGAGAGGAAAAGAGGAAAATTATTACACCCCAACAACTGGAAATGCTTTCCAACGCCACACTTAGACTGTTAACTACTAAAACTGCAATTTTGCCAGAATCGATAGTTCACTGAAATGGAACATGTAATATTGAATTCGCCTTTTGTATGATTATTTTTTGTAGAATCATTCAATAAAGAAAAACTATTCTATGTAAACTCTGAAGATTATTACGTACTTGAGTCTTGCAGACAAAACGATAACGAAACAACAACACAAAAACTGCAAACGGATTTCGAGTCCCAGTAATAGTGCCGTTACTCTTTTCGATTATTCTGCCGTAGTAAAGCTCTCAAAAGAGCATTACTCTTAGATACTGAATGCTCATTGGAAGGATCATTGTTATTCTTCTCTGGAGTTTCGGTAGGTCTCTCATTATTTTGCTTATTTAGTTCTTTAGGTAGTTATTTTCATTGATTCTATTCGGAAGTTGTTCGTAGTGTGTAGTTGCCTAATTTTTTTTTCACTTAGTAAATTTCATTATTCATCATAAGTGTTCTGTTTCATTGTTAGTTTTTTTCTTCTGATTTTTCTCTCAATCATGCTTCGTTTATCATTTCCGCAGATTTTGTTTGCTTTATTCTATATTTTTAGTCAATTTTGTTGTTAATCTGGATATGAATATGTAAATTAAGTTTTTGCGGATTGCGTTGCAATTAGAATCCCTGTATTCTTGTCACTCACTGCAGAATAATCATGTCGATTGAGATCTAATTCAGTGATGCTTCCGAGTAGCGTCTCGAAGGAAGACAAAAAAAGACGAGCAGGAGATTTTGGAGGTAGGAAATGTGAAATGTAATACGATTATCTCATTGAGTAGGGAATAATGATAACATATATACTGATAAAAATGAAAGGTGAAAACAAATGCATACAATATAGGCGGTAAAGTGGAAAACAGAACTAAGCATAACACATAGAGAACACACAACATATACATTTATACATATGAAACTATATATATATTTATATACATATAGTGAGAAGCATAACTATGGAAAAGAAGCAAAGTTTGCTAGCAACTAGAAACCAGAAGTAAAACTAATTGACGCGTTGAGCGAAACAGAAGAGTTCATGTAAAGTTAAGTTTCTATTTATAAGATAGGATATGGAACAAGACGGCAGAAGATGAAAAAAAACGTAAAAATAATCTAAGGACCGTAAGTATATATAAGTATACAGACAAAAAAAAAAACAAGATTGAGCAGAAAATTGAAAGGGAAAAACACAAAAAATTAAGCTTATACTATAAACGGTAAGATGAGGTTAATTCGTAAGCGTTTATATACATATGTTTTATATAAAATGATCGAAAAGTAATCTTGCAAGCGCAAATTAATCGAGTTGCGAGCGAGAGAGAGAGAGAGAGAGTAAAAATAATAAAGCAAAAACAAAAAATTCAGCCCCGATGTCATTGCTAAAGTAACTCACGTGAGCACCACTTTGTAGAGCATCATTTAATAGTGCATTAAAATGCAATAGCAACAAGCAACAGCGCAGCAAATAAGTAAAACCTACCTACCTTATAGCCAAATCAAGCATCAGCAGCAGCAGCAGCAGCAGCAGCAAAAGCAGTATGAAACTAACCTTTCCCACATACCCTTAAACAACAAAATTATTCCGAACGATTCGATGTTTTAGAGAAAAAAATAAAGACAGAGAGATACAAAAAAGGAATCCAATCCACATACAAAAAACTACCACATTACTCACCAAAGTAAACAAGCGAAAAGAAGAAAAAAAAACTACAAGAGAAGATACACTCGCGGAGAGCAAACGCGGTTTGTAGGCCCTCGAATGAAGGGAGACAGGTGTGCGTGTGAATAAATAAGGTGCAGCAGCAGCAGTGCAGAGACACAACGGACCGACGAAAAAGGAAACTGTACGCGACGATTTCGTAAACAAAGATGTCTAATGCTTGAGATAGGTACCGAAGAGCCATAATAGTGCAGTGGAGATGCGGTTTCGTCGTCGTCGTCGTCCTCACCGTGTATCCTCGAGGTTGCGGATTTGTTCGTGGTGAAGCAGATCGACATACGATTAAAAGTAACCAAAATCAGACAGAAACGAAAACACAGGCGAATAAAAAGTGCAGTTTGCTAAGTCCGTAAATTAAACTCTAAAAAAAAGAAAAAAACAGGTTTGCTCAATGTGCTTGTGAGATATCACATTACCTATGGGAAATTCTAGGCAAAGCTACCGGATGTATGAGGTTTGTCCTTTCTAGATTAATTTTTGATCTAGATTTTTTTTAGGTTTAATCTTTGAACTTTTGATTGCATGCATCAATATTGTACTCAGAGAAAAAAAATACCCTAAATTTAAGTTCTTTTTACTTAATTTTGGGTGATTTTGAGTTTTACATCCCACTCTCACTTTTTTTTTTGTTGTCACAAACGGAACGAGAGATTCGGCTTTCTCATGACTATCGTTCAATATGCTACTAGTGAGTATTATTGGAATATAAATTTGTCATTCATTTCTACTCGGGATATGAGATCCCAATAATCAGAAGAGAGGGAGAACGAATTCTCTCACCACACAATTAGGCATAGGCAAATGAAATAGACCACGTGGATTGTAAAGTTATATATATATCGCTAGAATAGATGGGACAGTGAAATGTATAAGATCAATAAGGAATACAGTGAATTTACCCTCATTTTGTATCAGCAAACGGTTGACGGAATAAAGACTGCGTAAGGCAATTTATTCACAGAAACTACTTTTTGAAAGCTGATCCGAAACTGGAAGAAGTCGTTTCTTTTTCAGGTTGAGAACATTCTTGGTGAGTATACTGGTTATGATAGTGGTGACGACCCCATTGGTTTCTCACTACATAATCAGAAAGCTGCTGTCTCTGCCAACAGGTTATGGGCCCAGACGAGTTGACGTTTAGGAGTTAGTTTATAGAATTGTTCAGACGGAGGCCTTCTCTCTGTGGAACAATTTCTAGGGTTTGCTCAGTCGGAGACCTTCTTTTCTGAGGAGCAAACATAGGGATTATTTGAGAAAAGTTTTGCTCAGACGGAGACCATTTTTCTGTGGAGCAAACTTTGATCAAAAGATTATCGACTAGACTATTTTAGACGGCCTTCTTCTTTTTTTATTATTATTGCAAATATGGAAAACCGTCTCAAGCGAGTGGTTATTCCAATGTTTAGAGGGGACGAAAAGACATTCCCGTTCTGGAAGAAAAGAATGGAGCAACATTTTAAATATGAAGGTTTGTTGCACACTCTCGACAAAACTCCTGAAGAAGAAGATTATTTCCATGCGATCGCCGGGGCTACCGCCGAACAAGAGAATGCGAGGAAAGCCGCATTACAAAAACGGCTTAAAGAAGAGGATACAGCAGTTAATGAGCTGTGGCTTGCATTGTATGATGAGCCAATGGGGCATGTTATACATTATAACTATGCTAAGGAAATTATGACTCGATTAGGGGAAATTTTTCAAAAACATGGGCCGATGGCTATGATTGGACTCCGGGCGAAATTATATTCGTTAAAATCCCAAAAATTTAACTCTTTGAAGCAACTCTTTGCAGCTCACCAACAAATTGTTAGGGAAATTGAGAGTATGGGGGAGACTATTGGAGGGGTCGAAAAATTAAATACTTTGCTCGTTGCTATACCGCAGGAATTCCAAAATTTGATTGGTGCCCTCTCTGTGTTGAGGAAGGACGACTTGGAATTGATGTCACTGGAGCAAGTCCAGCGGGTATTTTTGGACGCCGAAGAAAATAAGGGCAAGCGAAACGATTCGGGACCATCACAGGTGGCCATGTACGCACCCCAGCAACAACCCCAGCATCGACCAGATCATCGACCCGATCAGCGATACGAACAGAGACGCCAGCAAAGTTCGGTGAGATGCTTTGAATGTGGTCGGTACGGACACAAGAAACGTAATTGTCGCGAAGCACGCCGCAAGAAGGAAGCCGAAAGGACGGAATTTAGGAACCACCCGGGAGGACAACGTCGTGATGTGGCTATGGTCACGCGACAGAATGGCGCGTTCAGAGTACGGATACCGTTGGAGATACTATCCGAGGATTCCGTTCGTGATTATAAAATAGCGAAGATGGATCTCACCAAGATGCCGGTGCCATCCGGTGGGGTAACCTTGCTGGATTCAGGAGCTACGAAACATATGTTTCATGACATCGGAATGTTCAATGATTTGTGGGACGCCGTGGCTGCCATTCAAACGGCCAAAAAGGGAGAGATGTTGAGATCTGAAAAGTCCGGAAATGTGAACATAGGAACAAATAAAAATTTCAATGTTACACTGTATAATGCTCTTTATGTTCCTGATCTGAGTTACAATATTGTTTCTGTTTCAAGAATCGAGTCTTCTGGGAAGTCAGTTGTATTCAGAAATGGTGGAGTGGAAATTTTCGATGAAAAAGGAATGTTGATTCTTACGGGAGAAAGAGTTGACGGTTTGTATATCTTGAACGTTAAGTTTGATGGAAATTCAGATAAAGTATTTTCTGGCAAGGTATTAAAAGATCATGAGTTGTGGCATGTTCGGTTCGGTCATTTGGGAGCACAGAATTTATTTAAACTGATGAAGGACAAAATGGTAGAGAGGTTGAATATTGAACTATCTTCCATGTCTGGTTCCCCATTGACATGCAAATCATGCATTTATGGAAGACAAACCAGAGAAGCTTTTGATAATTCGCCTAAGATCCGATCTAGTAGACCACTAGAGCTAATTCACTCTGATGTTTGTGGTCAACTACCAGAAGATACACATGACGGATACAGATACTTTGTAACGTTCATTGATGATTATACACATTTTGTAGTTGTATATTTAATCCGCTATAAGAGCGAAGTCTTGGAAAAATTTCGGGAATATGAGGCTATGGTAACTTCACATTTTTCTCTTCGAATTTCGAGGTTGCGAACAGATAATGGTGGGGAGTATTTCAGCGGAGATTTTGTGACGTTCTGTCGAGATAAAGGGATTCAGATGACACCCACTGTTCCGTATACACCACAACAAAATGGTGTCAGCGAAAGGATGAACCGGACCTTAATGGATAAAGTGAGAACAATTCTTCATGAGAGTAATTGTCCGTCAATGTTTTGGGGAGAGGCATTATATGCCTCAACATATGTATTAAACCGTAGTCCTACAAGTGCATTGAACGTTTCAAAAACGCCCTTTGAAATGTGGTTTGGGGTAAAACCTGACGTAAGCAAACTTAGAGTGTTTGGTTGTATTGCCTATGTACACGTGAATAAGGAATACCGTACAAAGTTGGACAAGAGAAGCAAGTCTCTTTGTATGATGGGGTATGCACCAAACGGGTACAGACTATGGGATGAAGATATACGAAAGGTTATAATTTCAAGAGATGTAAAATTTGATGAACATAGTTTTTATTTCACAAAAATTAAAGAAACATCCGAAGAAGAACCGATTTTCTGTGAGGTAGAAAGAAGACCTGAACCTGAAATTTTTGAAGTAGAGAATCATTCCATATCTGATGAAAACAGTGACGATGAGTTCATGAGTGGGGAAGAAGTAGTTGAGGATGAATATAATCCTGAAGAAGGAAATCGTCCTAAAAGAACTGTTAACGCCCCTGCGTGGCTAAATGATTTTGAAACTGTTTTTCTATCTTTGAGCGGTTCAGGTGAAATTCCACAGAATATTGATGAATTACGTAAACGGAGTGATTGGGGTCAATGGAAGCAAGCCATTGATGAAGAATTAAACGCCTTGAAGGAAAACAACACATGGTCATTAATCAACGAGCTACCGGACGGAAAAAAGGCTATTAATTCCATGTGGGTGTTTAGTATCAAGGAAGAAGGAGAGTCCATTCGATATAAAGCAAGGTTAGTAGCGAAGGGGTGTTCGCAACGTCCAGGTGTTGACTACTGTGAAACCTTTGCTCCAGTGGCAAAGATGACAACTGTAAGGACGATGCTTTCGATTGCAGTAAAGAAAGATTGGTTAATACATCAAATGGATGTCAAAACTGCATTTCTCAACGGAACACTGAACGAAGAGATTTATATGAAACTTCCTCGAGATGAGAATGGAAACATTAAGACATGTAAGTTGAATAAAAGTCCCTATGGGTTGAAGCAAGCCGGTAGGAGCTGGAATCAACACTTTGATAAAATAATGTCACAATTAGGGTTTCAGAGGCTGAATTGCGACACATGTCTTTATAATTGCTCTAAAAAGGGTCTTTTTATCATCTTGTACGTAGATGATATATTGATTTTTGGAACTAACATATCTGCTATCAATTGGATTAAGGAAATGCTATCGAACCATTTCAAGATGAAGGATTTAGGGGAAGTTAAAAGTTTCCTGGGTTTAGATATTACCAGAAATCTTGAGAGAGGTACATTAGAGCTGTCTCAGCAATCCTATATTGAGAAGATTTTGAATATATTTGGTATGATGGACTGTAAGTCGATGGCTACACCTATGGATGCGAACTATAAATGGTACTTGACACTAATGTCAAGACCTGACATAACTATTGCTGTGAGTATTTTGAGTCAATTTCAGAGCATGCCAGGAGATGATCATTGGGCAGGATTGAAGAGGATCCTTCGATACCTTCAAGGAACGAAATCGCGACGCTTGGTTTACTACCGTGAGAAGGATGACGAGCCATTAAAGGGATACGCGGATGCGGACTTCGCAAACGATATTGAAGAGAGAAAGTCAAATTCCGGAAACGCTTTTCTGGTTTATGGCAACATCGTGTCCTGGAAGAGCAAGCGGCAGCACATTGTGACGCTATCATCAACAGAAGCGGAACTGGTTTCATTATGTGACGCTTCTAAGGAAGGTGTATGGATATCGTGTATGCTGCGGGAGATGGGAATCTCGTTCACTCCATTCACCATATACGAGGACAACATTCCCTGCATTCGAATATCGGAGGAACCTAGAGAGCATCAGCGAACAAAACATATTGATGTGCGGTATATGTTCATTAGAAACTTGATTAATGAGAAGAAAATTAAATTGGAATATATTAAGAGTGAAGATCAGATTGCAGATGTATTTACAAAACCCCTATTAAAATCAAGATTTTATAAAATGTGCGAATTGTTAGGAATGATAAATTGAAGGGAAGTATTGGAATATAAATTTGTCATTCATTTCTACTCGGGATATGAGATCCCAATAATCAGAAGAGAGGGAGAACGAATTCTCTCACCACACAATTAGGCATAGGCAAATGAAATAGACCACGTGGATTGTAAAGTTATATATATATCGCTAGAATAGATGGGACAGTGAAATGTATAAGATCAATAAGGAATACAGTGAATTTACCCTCATTTTGTATCAGCAAACGGTTGACGGAATAAAGACTGCGTAAGGCAATTTATTCACAGAAACTACTTTTTGAAAGCTGATCCGAAACTGGAAGAAGTCGTTTCTTTTTCAGGTTGAGAACATTCTTGGTGAGTATACTGGTTATGATAGTGGTGACGACCCCATTGGTTTCTCACTACATAATCAGAAAGCTGCTGTCTCTGCCAACAAGTATATGAGATATTCTCGAATTTGAGTCAATTGAACTTAATTTTGGGTAGAAAATACTTACGAGGGGTGCCCGCACTACCACGGACCAAATTTTCGCGATTTGGCAGGTTCTGCAGAAATGGCGCGAATACAACGTGCCCACACATCGTTTGTTCATAGATTTCAAATCCGCATACGACACAATCGATCGAGGTCAGTTATGGCAGATTATGCACGAGTACGGATTTCCGGATAAACTGACGCAATTGTTTTACCATCGCATTGGTCAAGGCGACGATGGATCGAGTGATGTGCGTTGTTCGAGTATCGGGGACACTCGATTCCCTTTGAATCTCGAAGGGGGTTACGGGAAGGTGATGAACTTTCGTGTCTGCTATTTAATATCGCGTTAGAAGGTGTAATCAGAAGAGCTGGGATAGACACGAGTGGCACGATCTTCAGGAATTCCATCCAGCTTCTTGGCTTCGTCGATGACATCGACATCATGGCACGGAACTTTGCGACGATGGTGGAAACGTACATCAGACTGAAGGCTGAAGCTAGGCGGATTGGACCGAGGATTGGACTTGCCATCAACGCATAGAAGACGAAATACATGAGAGGAAGAGGTTCTTGGGAATACAGTGTTACCCTCCCACCCCGAGTTCAGATTGACCGTGCCGAAATTGAGGTTGTCGACTAGTTCGTGTATTTGGGCTCACTGGGGACCGCCGAAAATGATACCAGCAGAGAAATTCAAAGACGCATTATTGCAGGGAATCGTGTCTATTTTGGTGAAGAAGAGGTGCGCAGCGGGCAAGGTCAATCCTTCGCAGACTACGAGGCTGGCGACGTGGGGCCATGGATCGAGTAGAGTCGACTTCTTCGGACAGCAGAGGACAACAAGTCCTTAGCCTGATTGGTAAAGTAAGTACATATCAATATTACAAATCCACGCTCAGTTCGCGGCAGAAAGCAAATCGAGTTTCTCGTTTTTTTATCCACAAATGGACACCTGTTCCAAAAGGACTCAAGATGTTTATAATAATTCGGTCAGTGTATTGACGAATGGTAAAAACCTTTCCCTTTCGATTTGCATGTTCTTCTAAATGCTTTAAGTGATAATTCAATGTTTTCACGGAGGTGGATAACTTAGAACTTACTTAACGTTGTTAATGTGAAACGCTGTGACATCCTTATTCTCGGAACCACTTCAAGACTTTAAGTGTACAAATATCAGCTTCTACGATTCGTGCAACATTCAAATTATTACTCCACGTTTGGTGCACTGCAATTTACATGAAGTAATAATTTCAGGTGAAATGGAGCACCGATTTCCGAGATTTGTGTAATTGAAAATTCGAAGTGGAAGTGCATGTATAGCCCACGTGGCGGCCATTTGTGGACTCTACAAGGAATTACCTTAATACTGAAAACTTCCACAGCAGTCGTGTATCAGTTCTATTATTGGTGATAATTGTGCTGTACAATTGAATAAACCTCAAACATGGTATGCCAAAAATGTCTCATAGACTGCAAAAACGATGTGTTTAAAGGGTGATACGGTCAAAATTTGGTCAATATCAACTTGACGTATTTCTTTCAATTTTGCATTTAAAAAACCTGAACACCCCTCATTTTGAAGGTGTGTGTGTGTAGAATGTTGCTCCTATTTTGATTTTGGAATTCACTCTTCAGTTGTCAAAATGCCGTCCAAGCAAGAAGAGCAGCGTATCAAAATTTTGCACGCGCATCGCGAAAATCCGAGCTACTCGCACGCAAAGTTGGCAAAATCGCTAAAAGTTGCCAAATCAACCGTTACAAATGTAATTAAAGTGTTTGGGGAACGTTTGTCGACAGCCAGGAAGTCTGGATCGGGGGGAAATCGAAAACCGGAAGCAGCTGAGACGACAAAGAGAGTTGCCGGTAGTTTCAAGCGAAACCCTAACCTCTCTCTCCGAGATGCCGCAAATAAGCTGGGTGTATCGTCTACAACCGTGCATCGAGCCAAAAAACGAGCCGGACTATCGACTTACAAGAAGGTAGTGACTCCAAATCGCGATGATAAACAAAATACGACGGCCAAAGCGCGATCCCGGAGGCTGTACACGACGATGCTGACGAAGTTTGACTGCGTGGTAATGGACGACGAAACCTACGTCAAAGCCGACTACAAGCAGCTTCCGGGACAGGAGTTTTATACGGCAAAAGGAAGGGGAAAGGTAGCAGATGTTTTCAAGCACATGAAACTGTCAAAGTTCGCAAAGAAATATCTGGTTTGGCAAGCCATCGGTACTTGTGGCTTGAAAAGCAGCATTTTCATAGCTTCCGGGACTGTCAACCAAGAAATTTACGTGAAAGAGTGTTTGAATAAACGTCTGCTGCCTTTCCTGAAGAAACACGGTTGTTCCGTACTGTTTTGGCCGGATTTGGCATCTTGCCATTACGGTAAAAAGGCCATGGAGTGGTACGCCGCCAACAACGTGCAGGTGGTTCCCAAGGACAAGAACCCTCCCAACACGCCAGAGCTCCGCCCAATTGAGAAATACTGGGCTATTGTCAAGCGGAACCTAAAGAAGCCCAAAAAAAACTGCTAAGGGCGAGCAGCAGTTCAAGGCAAACTGGCTTTCTGCGGCGAAGAAGGTGAACAAGGTGGCTGTACAAAATCTGATGGCAGGGGTCAAGCGTAAGGCCCGGCAATTCGGATTTGGAAAAGCGGAAGCCTAACTGAATATTTTTCCTGAATTTTATACTAATTGAACTTGAAAAAGAAATTTAATTTGATTTTTTAAATAAACGATTTCACCGATTTACACGCGTTTTCCCTTGACCAAATTTTGACCGTATCACCCTTTACTGTCTGCGAGGGAAACTGTAGTATACCATTTCACGCAGCATGTGTTGGCTTTTCCGGGGATAGTATGTGTTTCCTGAAGAAAACTATTATCTGTGTATGTGACGACTGCCTCTCCGTCTTCTATGATCACGTGCAAGAAAGCGTGCACCCCTTCAAAAATTGATGCAGAACTGGCTGATATAAAGGAAAAAAATAGCTTAGGGCAATGTGGCCACCCGCTTACAAATCAACTTATTGAACGTATTTTACAAAATAGCTATTGCAGGCTTAATGCTTGAAGCCTAACTTCATTTAATTCTAACAAAATACTTTTCTCTAAAGCAAATATTCCAAAAATGTTAGACTGGCTCAAAATGTCAAAACATTTATAAGATTTCTGAATCAGAAAATACCCTCCCCATGGACATTGGAGGTTGACGGTACTGAAGCAAAAGGTTATGTTTAATTTCTTTATATTTGCAACGATAATGATTTCCTATAGTGACACATATCACCTTTCTAATGCTTCAGTATGCCTCAAACGATTAATTCTTGGTTGTTAAGATTTTTTTTAGAAGCTTTTCGATTTTTTTGTTAGTACATATCTACGCTATTTTGTGTATTGTTTTTTCACAGAAAATGATTTAAAATGTCTCAAATATTATTTTTCGAGTATAAATTACATGAAAAGACGTTTTAACAAAAAGTTCAAAATGTTGACCAAAGGTTGTTGTTCTACGATTTTTGTTGTGAATATTCCGTCAGTTGACGTCAGTTTCCATTTTGGCAGAATGTGTGGAATTAGGCGCTGTGCAGAATTTTGGCAATGGCGTTTCCCGAATTCACATTTCCCCAAATCTTTAGTCCCGTAATTCATGTCAAACAGCACAGATATCGTTCATCGTATATTCCATCATTTTTGGTGATACTATCACTACACATGAATTCTAATTTATAGAATAGTTACAGATTATTACGTCATTTTGCTTCGAATATAGCAACTTACTTTTCATGCTATCGTTCAGCTTCAATGGAAACCCCTTATATTCTCCGTTGATTAGTGCCACGTCGTGTAGCCGAAGCGTTTGTAAAGACTCGCATAGTATTCTACCTTTGCAGCCGATGATCTTCCCAACGGCTAGATTTATGTTCTGTAACATGTAGAGAGCCAGTTGATTGGATATGCAGAAATAACATATTTATAAATACCTACCTTAAGCTTCTTCAAGCCTGCCAACTTAGCAAAACAGTTGAAATTAACACAGAACAGGCTTAGTTCAATCGACCAGATTAGCGGACAGTTTCGGCAAACGGCTAACAAGGCGGCATCTTCGACGCCAGTTATCTTTATGGCTTCTAGCTTTTTCATTGAGCCAAACAGTTGATCGAATTGTATGGGAGGAATATTTTCGATTACAATCGCAGTCGATACGGTTGTTAAGTTAAGAGTGTTAAGATTCTCAAATGAATTACATTGAAAGGTGCGCCAAATTCTGTTCGGTAGATCCAGCATGACGTTTTTCAGTTTTGAACAATGTTTGATTGTGAGAACAGTGTAACAGTTCCAATTCCGTAGGGTTTGAATTTTCGTGTAAATTAACACAGGTGCATCTATCATAAAGTATTGTCTTCCATGGCTGATGTTGCCGAGAGAAGCCTCTGTCCATTCTAGACACTCCAATGCGTGCATGTTGAGGAAACATCGTCTGATACCAAGAGGAGCATCATCCGCTGGAAGCGTATATTGATTAAACGGCGATCCAATGTACATATGTAGCTCTCTAATATGATTTAATACTGATCGGTGAAGTTCGAAAAATTCCCCAAGCGTTTCGTCCGGTGTAGCGTTTATAGTGAGCTTTTGAAGTGAATATTTTGGAAGCACTTCGAACATTTTGTTGATTGCAAACAGATACTGTACGTCCGGGTGGTTGATCCATGAAATTTCTACACTTCTGTAGGAACGTTGGAGGCTTGGAAGGAATCCGCTAAACAGTACGTAGGAACTGCCTGGTTTCCATTTGGCTAGGGGGAATGTTACGCTGTGGTTTAGCGAAACATTGAATATGACATCGTTCCAACGTCTACAAACCGTCGTGCATACTTTTCGGTCCTCCAGGGACAGAAATCGGATGACGGCACCTAAGATTACGGTTGGTGCATGTTCCCACCCGGATTGTAGCTTGGAATATGCTCTACTTCCTGCAGTTAATGAATATACAGGAATAATAATTCAAATTATTATTGCCTACACGCCTAAGATTCGTCTAGCAATGACCAATGTGTGTAAACAGGTGAACTCAGAGAATTTGTCATCTATTTTGTTCCTCCGCTGTTTAAATGGTTAACGGAGTTGGAAGTTAAATTCCATCAAACATTTTAACCACGGAGGAACAAAAGAGACTACAAATTCTGTGGGCCGCACTTGATTACGTCCCATTGAGCAAAGACTAGTCTTGCTGTAGGCCCAGTAATACATACCATTATTTTCGAAGGATGTAGGTGCTTGAGAGTGCTGCCTAACTTGTTTCTTGTAAGATAGTGGATCCATCGCAAGAACTTTGTTGGCTGATTTACGTAAATTCCTGGGGTTATCAATCGTTTAGGTTTGACTCTTGCAACGAAGTGGGCGTGAGCGCGCCCGTTGCTGAATTGCTGAATATATAGTCCATGGTGGGTATATAAATGGTGATACAGCTTTGTCACTATAGGCCTTTAATGCACCACCAACGTAGAGGGCACCAAGTGAGTTCGAGAGTAAACGTCAACCAAACCGTTTGTTTGCATCAGAAGAAAGATTTTTCACAACGCAAATTAAAGCATTTTTCATTGAACATCTTGCCAGTTTCCATCGGTAGTTGTCTCAACAATCAATTCGAAACTAACGATTTTAAATTGGCTCACTACTTCTACTTGACTTGCCTATTGGTCCCAAGCAAATCGATTAACGAACCCCATTTTAGTCAAAATTCTAGTACTACACTATGTTTGTTTTGATTCTCTATGAAAGTTTGACAGATAAAATGAGGGGTTAGTGGATTTTCCTATGTTTCGAGGGGTGAATCGATTAGCTTGGGACCGAAGATAGTACCAGAGCTGAGCCAAAAAGTTCAGCACGTTAATTCGGGACCTTCTGGTCTTAGAGTTACGAGTTACCTCTATGGTTGTCTTATTTTATGATTCTCCACAAATCTGAACTGATTTGCACCCAAACTATTCAAACACAAGAAATTCGGAAGATCATAACCACTAAGGAACAATTGGAATTTTGCATTTTTCTCAACAAAAATATACCTGAACACTAGCAGAATCCTTGCAAAAATGATACAGAATTAAATGTTTCATTATAGATAAAGTTTTTGGGCATCTCAGATGAATTAATTTATCAGGAAAAGTAAAAAAGTGTTCCACTTCCAAAGTCTCACGGCAAAAATTCTGCTCACAACACTTTTTTTGACATTCTTATATTCACCACCAGAGGTTGAATCGATCGACTAGTTTCTACTAAAAAGGCGTATATAGGCGAGGAAGTCGCGGGGGGGGGGGGGGGAGTGCGGTTTTAGCAACAATCAATACGAAACTAACGATTTTAAATTGGCTCACCACTTTAGTAGCCTATTGGTCCCAAGCAAACGATTAACGTACCCTATTCTAGTTGAAATTCTATTACTACACTATGTTTGTTTTGATTCGCTATGAAAGTTTGACAGATAACATCAGGGGTGTGTGGATTCATGCAGAACATGCAGGGGTGAGTGAAATAGCTTGGGACTGCTTGGGACCGTTGTTCTGGTACTGAGTTAGCCAAAAATAATAATGATTTTCTTCGGGACCCAGTGGTCTTAGAGTTACCTCTACACAGCAAAAAAAATGTAATATCGATCAATGTAATTCAAGCTGATGTATGAAATAATGATGTGATAGCAAAAAGCAGATACAATATTACATCAATGGATGTAATTTTGTTCGCAAAATCGATGTACATCGTACAACGTTATATTACACAACCGATGGATTGACCTGGTTGCAGCAGTTTGGATGTAATATTCAACAACTTTTTTTTCTGTGTATGCTGGTACTGAGTGAGCCAAAAATAATAATGATTTTCTTCGAGACCCAGTGGTCTTAGAGTTACCTCTATGGTTTTAGTGCAAATTGTAAACTGACTCCAACAATCAATACGAAGCTAACGATTTGAAATTGGTTCACTACTTGACTAGCCTATTGGTCCTAAGCAAATCGATTAACGTATCCCATTCTAGCCGATATTGTAGTACTACACTATGTTTGCTTTGATTCGCTATGAAAGTTTGACAGATAAAATGAGGGGTTCGTGGATTTTCCTATGTTTCGAGGGGTGCATCGATTAGCTTGGGACCGAAGAGAGTACCAGCAACAATCAATACGAAACTAACGATTTTAAATAAGCTCACTACTTGACTAGCCTATTGGTCCCAAGCAAACGAATAACGTACCCCATTCTAGTCGTAATTCTAGTACTACACAATGTTTGTTTTGATTCGCTATGAAAGTTTGACAGATAAAATGAGGGGTTAGTGGATTATCCTATGTTTCGAGGGGTGAATCGATTAGCTTGGGACCGAAGAGAGTACCAGCAACAATCAATACGAAACTAACGATTTTAAATAAGCTCACTACTTGACTAGCCTATTGGTCCCAAGCAAACGAATAACGTACCCCATTCTAGTCGTAATTCTAGTACTACACAATGTTTGTTTTGATTCGCTATGAAAGTTTGACAGATAAAATGAGGGGTTAGTGGATTATCCTATGTTTCGAGGGGTGAATCGATTAGCTTGGGACCGAAGAGAGTACCAGAGCTGAGCCAAAAAGTTGAGCACGTTTCTTCGGGACCTTCTAGTCTTAGAGTTAACTCTATGGTACCAGAGCTGAGCCAAAAAGTTGAGCTCGTTTCTTCTGTTCCGCTTCCTATGTCTCAAGGCAAAAATGTATGCTCACAACACTCTTTTTGACGTTCTCCTTTTCACCACCAGAGGTTGAATCGATCGTTTAGTTTCTATTTAAAAGGCCTTTTGCCAAGTTAAATTTAACTCGTGGTTAAAAGTGAAAATTCGAAAGTTATTTTCTATGTTAGAAAATTCCCGTGCTATCGATCGACCAGTTTGAAAACCGGTCAACCCACGGATGTCAAAATTTAACTTCTTGTCTGTCAGGAATAACAAAGCTCGGATAGCAGGGTTCATCGATAATTTTCCATCTGTCAAATTTTAACTAAAAGTTAAAATAATCCATCAGAGCCTTAACTTTTAGTTAAAATTTGACAGATGGAAAGTTATCGATGAACCCTGCTATCCGAGCTTTGTTATTTCTGACAGATAAGAAGTTATGTTTTGACAACCGTGGGTTGAAAACCGGTCGATCGACAGCACGGGGATTTTCGAACATAGAAAATAACTTTCGAAATGAGTCTTAGCAATATAAATTGACCACCTTGTCAAGCAGTTTTGGCGTGACTTTCTACCAGCGATTTCACAAAACTGGACCAAATAATTTATATTTTTTTATGAAACGCACAAATGTTGGCTACTTTTTTCGAGGTTCTAAAAGAAAAAATCTCAAAATAATGTTTTATTTCAAAGTTCGAGTGGTAGTAAACGTCATTTTAAGTGCTCGAATAAAGTGGTTAATTGCTGAACGAATCTGGTATCTCGATGAAAAAAAATTTAAGTGTGTATGTTCGAAAATCTCTGTGTTACCGATCGATCGGTTTTCGAGCAGAACTCAGCCACTGTTGTTAAAATTTAACTTCCTGTCTGTCAGAAATAATCACGCTTGGATAGCAGAGCAGCCCTAATAAAAAATGTATGGTTGATTTGCTTAGCGACGTGTTCTGGGTATCATCCAAACCATTTGTGGAATAGTTCAATGATTTGGGTTATCGTTCGTTTATGGTTATTTTTTATTAGGGAGGGCTAATCGATAACTTTCCATGTGTCAAATTTTAACCAAAAGTTTAAAAAATCCACCAAATGGTTCAGAGCCTAAATAAAGTGACAAATCTAGATAGAGCTGGAATTAGGGCGTAACAGCTTTTGTAAACAATTACTTTTCTCGTTGATTTCTATATAGCAACTCAAGGCACGCCTACACAAACCAACATATCCATTTGGTAGGGGAAGTCTTCCTCTATTCGATCGTAATGTTGATCTGCCAGGGAGAGTCATGTCTTTCGAGAAATCATCGAGAGAAGTCATTGTTAACAAAAGCTGTTACGCCCTAATTCCAGCTCTATCTAGAAATGACAAATGACTATAAATATCTTTATATTAAAAATAGTTCTGGCCACACTGCCACATGAAATAGATATCAGTGCCAACATTTCAAAGGGGCGTAATTGTATTTGTAAACAATGGCTTTAGCCGTCGATTTCTCGCGAATAAAAGCTCACTCATGAAAAATAATGACACCAGCAGGTAGAGGAATGTTTCCTTTACCAGCTAGCATTGTTATTTTGGAGAGGTAAGATTTCATTCGCGAGAAATTTACGGGTAAAATCATTGTTTACAAAAGCAATTACGCCCCTTTGAAATATTGGCACTGATATGTCGGTAAAATCGATCTGGGAGAATGCAATCTAGTACTGCTCAGCTCTGCTCTGTTGAGAGGTTATGTTTATCTGCTTGACAGTTCGGCTCGTGCTGTTCCCGAATCAAGTAAACACCGAGCTTATAGGAGTGCACATATTCAGCAGGAAAGAAAACGTGTTTAGTTGGACATTATTTCATTATTTTAATGTTTGCTTATTATTTGTGCTAGAATCGCTCAAAATGGATATAGTTAAAGAAGTTCTGCAGAAGCAGAAAAAAGATTTGGAAAAATATAAACCAATAACAGTGCAAAAACACCTCGAAGCCGTACTCGATGAGGGGCACCTGATGGTTACGGATCCAAACTACTTCGACGATGATAAGTTCAAGTGAGCCTCCGCGGTGCTGCGAACTGGTAGTAGATTTTTTCCTAAAAATACAACTGTTTCCCATTTCCAGAGCCGACATAGAGCAGTACCTGCTCGACTTGACCAGAGACAACGTACAGCTGTTGATTAACAGCATTTGGGAACTGCCAACGGAACGCGAAGAAGAATTTGTTGTTGCTAAGTTGCCGCCAGCCCGGATGGCGTTGCCTCGAGCTCGTAAGCTTCCGGTACCAAAACCACTGACCAAATGGGAAGAGATTGCCAAGGCCAAAGGCATCAAAAAGCGAACCCGCGATAAGAAGGTCTACGATGAGGTATTGGACAAATGGGTACCAACCTACGGATACCAGCGTTTCAAGGCAGAAAAGGAGAAGGATTGGGTCTTAGAGGTTCCCCAGAATGCCGACCCCAACAAGGACATGTTCCAGGAGAAACGTGATTTGAGAATCGAGAGGATAGCAAAGAATGAAATCTCCCGTATGAGAAACATTGCCCGGGCGAAAAAGATTCAAACACTGCGAACCGGTTTTCTGGGACCGGAATCGGCTTCCGCTAAAGAGGTAGCTCAACCCACCTAGGTTTATTACATTAAGTTTCAAACAATCATTCCATTTTGTAGCTCGTCACAGCGGCCAACATTGCTAAAGCATCGACCGCATCGGTTGGCGTTTTTCAGGAGAAACTAAGCAACGAGAAACAAGCTCGTGGAATCGGTGTGAAGGAATTGATGCCCGGTAAAAAGCGGAAGCGAGATCCCATTACGATTCCTGGCGAGAAGAAACGAAACATTGAAATCATCAACAAGGTCCTCAACAAGAAGCCGAAGATCGACTTGGAGAAAGCTATTTCCCTGCAAAAGGCGGAAGCCAGGACAGAGTACGTATTAAGGGTTCTCTCAAGGTTAATTGCGATTCTTTATATTAAACTGATTCCTTTCTTTCAGGAGAGAATCGGCCGCAGCAGAGGAAGGAGGAAAGAAGAAAAGGAAGGGCAAGGGTGGTAAGGGAGGCAAGGGCTTCGGACGAAAGAAGCCAAAGGGTGGACAAGGGAAGCGGAATCACAGTAAACGGGACGTCGGGCGTAAGAGGCGATAAGTGGACATTTAGAGCGTAAGGTAATCGTGGAAAAATTCAATATAATAGTTTACATTGATTGCTTTGGCTAAGTGTGAGAATTTTTATTCGAAAGTCCCTGCTTGATATTTTTTGGATTATTTTCGTGTCAGCGGTCAATGGACTATAAGACAATCACCCATATTCTCATTTTCGCTCAAACCGTATTTCATACAAAAAAAAATTGATGAAAAATAGCCAGTAGGTAGTTGGCTCAGTGGGTTCTTATGCGCCCATGCGCGCTGCGGTCTGGTTGTGCAGTGGCTGTGGGTTTGCCATATGGCAAATGGTGAAGCCGTAGCGGTTGGGCAGCCGGGTTGCAATATGCATTTGCCGTATTATAAATCACTAGATTAATTCAACTTCCGAGATCCTGTCATAATCTTAAGTATTAATGGCTGATCAGCGCTCTTAGGGAAAACTGTTAATTGTAAGGAAATTTGAAAAAAAACGTGTGAAGGACACAAGTATCCGGCGGTTTGATCGCTACTCGAACTAGTATAATGTGTAATACTTGTATGGCCAATTCAGTGCAGGTTGACATATTTCCAATATTCTAACCAAAATTTGTATTATTGGGATTCTACTCTTTGTAACAGTTTTAAGGCTGGAGAGATGTAGGACGCTGAGGGACCGCTTAGAGGAAGCATACTATGGAGTTAACTTCCTATTTTGGAATGGTTCAGATGTTCAGATGGGCTAGGAGTGATAAGTTTACGCTTTTGAGCTTTGCTCTTCCTTATATCATTTTCATTATTTTCATCTGTTTTGACTAACTGGGAGGATTTTGTTTTAACTAACTCTGGTAGTCGGTAGCTCGTTGAGTTGACCACATCTAACCCCGCAACTGTATGTCAGGTTTCCGCAGATGCAAGGGCGGCGTATCTATTGTGAGTCGGCCTGAACAATCCAGAATGTTTGTTTTGCAAGATCCACTTTGCCAAGATGTTGTGGAGTTCAAAGTGTTGTGACCGACGAGGGGGTTTTATTTTGAAGGTCCCGCACGATTGGCACCACGCATACGCTCACATTTCATGTACGAACGGATTACTAAATCGGGACAGCCAGAAGCCGTGGTGTAGTGGAAAGCGCGACTGATTTCTCACCCCAGTAGGTCTGGGTTCAATCCCAGCCGAGGTCGGTGGGATTTATCTGAGGCATTCAAATCTCTGGTCACGTCTTTCTTCGGAAGAGAAGTAAAGCCGTTGGTCCCGACCCATGCGTGTTGAATGGGTGCGATATCCCATGCAGATGTGGAAGCTGCCTTCTTGCTGCACATTCGATTGCCGTCAATGGATGGCAATCGATGTCCATCGGAGATTGGCACTAGATTGCGGAACAGAGACCGACGTTAAATAAAGGAATGAAGAAGAAGGACAGTCGGAAACGGAATACTAAGACAAAGAAATCATCAGTGGAGGATCCCATATCAAGGGGATCAAACCGGTAGGAACATCGGAAGACATCGATCATAATGAAGTGCGTGCATGCATATGTACACTGAAAAACGTTCTCATATAGTTCCCATTGGGAACGCACATGATATTTTTCAAATAAAATTAATTATTTTTATCTGAAATTCACATATTATTCATAGGATCATATGAATTCTATGTGATAGATCCCAAAACACAGGTTCATATGATTTGCTGGTGCGAATCCCAATTATGAGATCACATGAAAGTTAAGTGAAATTCAAATGGATATTTTCCCATTGGAAATGTGATTTATTTTTTGAGTGTATGTATAACTTTCATGGTGGTAAGCTCCAACCGGTATTATCCTCGGATTAAATCCCGATCAAGAATGTCCGGCTGGTTTGATGTCGACATCAGAGTTAATCAACATAATTCTGAGCAAACATTTTTCAGATCATACAAACAGGGACGGTATTAAAAGTTAATCCGAGTTGGAGCTTACCGCCATCAGACTCATTTCCAACATCTTATCTTAGGGTTGATGCATATATTATGTCACGCTCTAAGAGTGTGTGTGTGTGGGGGGGGGGGGGTTCTAAGATTTTGTGACAAGCAATGCATTAGGTATAGGAAAAATGTCATGATAGGGGGGAGGGGGTAATTTTTTGCTCGATTTAGCGTGACGTAATTAATGCATGGGTCCTTATAACACTCTCCCCCTATCAATACACTGAAAAAAGTTTTCACTTAGTTTCTATTAGGAACGCACATAATATTTTTTCAATTACAAAAATAATGATTGCTATCTGAATATCCAATAGCATAAGAAATGCTATATGAGAAATCATATAGATTTCATTGGACACATAACGTTCATGTGATTTAATGGTGCAATTTCAAATTATGGGATCACATCAAAGTTATGTGAAATTTACATGGATATTTATTTTATGAGTGTACTTAGATGCCCTTTGAGCATAACGCCTTCCCACAATGGCTTGCGATTTTTGAGGATAATTACGTTTCAGTGCCAACATGGACGATTCCTGGAACACGGTTGAACAAGTGTGGGTGGCTATTCAACTTGGTGATCGTCAATTGCTTCTCTGTGCAGTTTACATCCCTCCAGATCGAACCAGTGACTTGGAGCTTATTGACGCACATTGTCGATCCGTCTTGGTCGTTTCAGACAAAGCAGGCCCTTCCGACGAAGTTATTGTTCTTGGAGATTTTAACCTACCGGGCATAGCATGGCCTCCAACCCATAGTGGTTTCTTTTGTCCTGATCACGAGCGTTCATATGTCCACGCAGGAACCATCCAACTCCTGGACAGTTATAGCACCGCAATTCTGTCACAAATCAATGGCCTGTTGAATGAAAACAACCGAACTCTGGATCTCTTGCTTTGTGAGTGCTTGTGATACAGCTCCTTTCCTCTCCACGGCACCCGAACCTTTAGTCAAAGAAGTGCATCATCACCCTGCTTTAGTTATCGTGATCGAAAATAATATAGTCAATGATTTCACCAGCACTCCAAATGCTGTGTCATATGACCTCCGTAGAGCTGGCCATCGCAGTATCGTCCATGTGCTGTCTAACCTAGATTGGGACCATATTCTAGATCCTGTAGACGTCAACATTGCTGCACAAACATTTTTCTTCATTTTTCTTGACATATGTCATTGACAGACACGTTTCCAAAAAGATCATCCATATCGACTCTCGCGTCCCGTGGATGACGAAAGATCTTCGCTCGTTGAAAAGAACTAAGAAGGCTGCTCTCAGAAGATTTACTAAACTCCGCACACTGCCGCTGAAATGCTACTATGTCAGACTCAACCACGAGTATAAGCGGTTAAGTCGTCTCTGTTTTCAATGCTATCAAAGGAGGATTCAACGGCGGCTAAAATCACACCCGAAATCCTTCCGGAACTTCGTAAATGAGCAACGCAGGGAAGTCGGTTTACCCTCTTCCATTATTTTTAATGGTGAAACTGCTGGCAATCAACAAGATATTTGCAACCTGTTCTCAGCCAAATTTGCTAGTGTGTTTGAAGACGGCAACTCTCCGCTAATCTGATTACTTCCGCGGCCAGTAATGTTCCTTTGGTCAACCAAACGCTCAGAATGGTCGAAGCCACTACAGATACGATTTCTCGAGCAGCATCTAAACTTAAGACTTCAGCTAAGGCTGGACCCGATGGTGTTCAGTCGATTATTCTTAAAAAGAACATCACTTGTCTTTTAGATCAACTGCGCCGCATATTCCAGCTCTCTCTTTCCGTCTTGCTGGAAGACTGCGGATATGTTTCCTGCAGTGCTGCAAAATCTTGACAATACACGGTGATATTGATAATTCTGCTTTGGTCACTCCTTTGAGCTGACATTCACAGTCAAGGCAAACCATGTCAATTGCCAAAGACAATGCTGTCAGTGACGAAGATGTGTAGATTTTTATATTAACTAAATTTGTAACGAAATTAAATGACTTGAGCAACACAATTACATGGAGCCGTTAATGTGAACAAGCATCTACGTCCTGAACTGCGTGGATAACAATGATGTGACACAGAATGTACGAAATTACACTTTTTGTTACCTGGTGAATCTTTGCCACTGACGAAAAAATGAATGAGATTTTGACGAAGATTTTTTTGAGGATCAAGTCTGTCAGTAACTATGTGACAAACAATTATGTCAATATCACGCGAAAGTCTGTCAATGACAATGACAAATCTCAGCACTGGTTTCCTGTTCATAAAAGGGAAGCAAACGTGACGTAAACAACTACCGGGGAATCACGTCGCTGAGTGCTTTATCAAAACTTTTTGAATTGGTTGTCATAGAGTCCCTAACTGCGCATTGCAAGCAATATCTAAGTTCAAAGTGTTTTTTATGTTACTTCATACGCGAAGTTAACGATTTTCAGAGTTGGTTGGAAATGCTAACATGAAGCTTTAGTGTGATGATTTATTAGCTAGAGAATGATCTTTAGAAGAGGGTAGGTGGATAGTTCCGTTAGAGTACGGCAGTATGAAAATTGAATAGAAGTTGAAAATGAGCGAAGGGCCATTAAAGCGACAGTTTTCAAGATGACGCACATTTTTGCCTAGCCCGTACGATGTACGCGGGGACTTGAAGTATGTCTCCAAGTCCACAGGCTGGAGACATACTTCAAGTCCCCGCGTACATCGTACGGGCTAGGCAAAAATGTGCGTCATCTTGAAAACTGTCGCTTTAATGGCCCTTCGCTCATTTTCAACTTCTATTCAATTTTCATACTGCCGTACTCTAACGGAACTATCCACCTACCCTCTTCTAAAGATCATTCTCTAGCTAATAAATCATCACACTAAAGCTTCATGTTAGCATTTCCAACCAACTCTGAATATCTAAGTATAAATCAACACGCATTCATAACTGGGCGTTCCACAACTACAAACCATGCTGTGCCTAACGTCTTACATCACAGACAGTTTGATTGCTCGGACCCAAACGGACATTATCTACACAGATCTTACGGCAGCCTTCGATAAGCTGAACCACTAAATTGCGATCGCTAAGCTTGATAGGCTAGGGATCGGTGGAAATCTTTTGAGATGGTTTCGTTCATACCTCACG